TATATATATATATATATATATATATATATATATATATATATATGTGTGTGTGTGTGTGTGTGTGTATGTATATGTATGTATGTATACATATATACATATATATACACAGGTAGCTACACATGTACATATACATACACATACATATATGTATATATATACATATACATATATATAATTAGAGAAGGATAAAATGGCATACAATAGATTTCTGAATTCTGCAGAACAAATAGTAAGCAAGTTAAAGTTTCAGAAAAGAGAGATCTGCGTGACTTTAGGTCACCAAAGAAATCAACACAAAGGAGATAAGCCTGAAGCTTGGGTTTAAACAAGGGATCAAAGCTCAAAGGGCAAATGCTTGCTTTGGATTATAATAGATAACCTCTAAAATTTCTTTCAACATGAAATATATACATATGTGTAAGCATGTTTTTTCCCCTTATGGGTCATGGGTTTGTGGGAATGGCAGAGACAAAGGAAGAAAGGTTTTCATCATGAGCTAATGCACGAAGGTGTAAATGAGTATGCCACGCATAGAGAACAGGAAACGACCAATTGGCCTGGAACAGAAAATCCAAGTTGGTATAGAGTGGAAGATAAGTTTGGGTAATTGGCTTGATTAAGGTCAGACAATGCCTAGTAGTGAAATGAGGGGTAAGAAAAAAGGCAGATGAGATCTTTGTAGCCTGATTGTCACAGCAATCAGAGGGGGCCTCTTTTGCTGCAGACCTGCCTGTATTTTCCTTTCTTACTCCTCACCACATTTATGTTCAAGAGACCTCTGGTTTTTAGTCTTAAAAGGCAATATTTTAGTGACATAAGGTATGATGAGTCATTCCCATCTCTCTTGGCTCACTTTGCCATACAGAGCCCCCAACTTTTCTATTTTGAAAAAAAAGGCCATGATTTTTCTGATTGAAAGAGACCAGATGATAATGTACTTGTGTTAATAAGGAGCTAGAACCCCACTGTTATTTCTAATAGTATTTCCATACATGTTGGTCCATGAAAATAATGATCAGAGCACTCATGGGAGGTGTGGTAGTAGAATTAAGGGAGTACTGGGCCTGGTATTCCCTGCATGAGTTAAGATTTAAGTTTTGATTTTTATTTGTTAGCCATCCATTTTACTGAAGTATGTCCGATGTTTTCTGGGGGATGATAGAACCCACGCTGTCTGAGAGGAAATGCTACTGTGATTTCTTTGTGTCTAATTAGGAATCACATAAATTGCTCTGGGCCCCTGGATGATTCTCTAATATCCTTGGTATTGACACTTCCCTTTTTCCCACTTTGTTTCTAATACATGCATAATTCGATCTTCCCAGGATACTACTGTTTGCACTCGATTTTGTGGGATTTGTGTCAAACTCGTTTTCTCATAAGAGAAGTAACCATGCGTACACTTCTGTGTTCAGGATCACCCATGGAAATACGAAATTCTGTTCAAAAGGGGCCTTAACTATTAGAAAAGACAGGATAATCAGTGTGATGAGATTTGAAGGGACTCCCCTACCAGAATACTATCTTTTCTCTTCTGAAAGTCCATTATTAGACATTCATTCCTTTGGCCAAAGCACTACTTTTCCTATCCGGTCCTCTTAGAATATAGCAAAAACACTAAGAAGGAATAGATAGGGGCAGCTAGGTGGTGCAGTGGATAGAGCAGTGGCCCTAAAGTCAGGAGTACCTGAGTTCAAATCCGGCCTCAGACCAAACACTTGACACTTACTAGCTGTGTGACCCTGGGCAAGTCACTTAACCCCTACTACCTACAAACAAGGGTTAAGTAGTTTGCCCATGGTCACATAGATAGTAAGTATCTAAGACCATACTTGAATTTAAGTGGGTCTTCCTGACTCCAGGACTGAGGCTCCATCACTGAGCCACCTAGCTGCCTCTCAGGAAAAAAAAAAAGAAAGAAAAATGTTAGAAAGAGAGGAAATGATGGGTAGGTGGGGAGGACTAGGGATAAACTTTGCTGACTTCACATCTTTGTCAATGGTCCTGGTCCTGGCCATGGCCTTACAGAAAAAAACAAAAAAACAAGCAACAAAAAAAAAAAAAAACATTTCCCTCTAGGCTGGTTCCTATCCATGCAAAATCCAAACATTTCTGCTTCATTGAATCTCCCTAACAAAGTCCTCTGGGAAGCTAACCAGCATGTAGAAGGTTTTTTTTTTTTCTTTTTAAAACCTTTGCTATGGTCTTTTATTTTCCAAATAAAATTTCCTTTGTCTTTTCTCCTTTATCTCCAGGGACAGACTCTATATACTGTGAGTGACCCATACCTGTGTTTTGTCACTTGGAAAATCATGTTCTTCCTTATGAGATCCCAAGATCATAAATTTAAAGCTTAAGGAGGCCTTAGAGGTCATTTAGTCCAACCCTTTTCTTTTACAGAGAAAACTGAGCCCTAGAGTGGTTTTTAAGACTTGCCCAAGGTCATATAAGTGGTGAGTGGCAGTCAGAATTTGAACCTGGGTCCTCTCATTCCAAATGCAATATCTTTTCTTCTATATACCACTGTCTCCAGTATGTTTATCTGATAGATATTCTACTTTGACTTAAACATATTTTCTCTTCACAAGCATGATGGTAAGCATTCTCATAGTTATAGACGTC